TTTTTCTCATGAAAAATTAACTCATTAATTCAGAAAAACAGAGCAACATTTTTTTTCTCATGAAAAATTAACTCGTTAATTCAGAAAAACAGAGCAAAATTTTTTTTTCTCATGAAAAATTAACTCATTAATTCAGAAAAACAGAGCAAATTTTTTTTCTCATGAAAAATTTACTCGTTAATTCAGAAAAACAGAGTAGATTTTTTTTTTCTTCAAGTGAATGCAATACGCCTCCGTAGAATGACATTCACACAGGTTTGGTAAATGTATTTATTTACTTATTTACTTTTTCTTTGGATGAATTTGAGCACTTTTTGATGAAAAAGCAGCCAACATGTGTGAAAGCTACATAAGTTCCATGTTAGATATAAATCCGGGTCGCTAAAGACACAAAGATGTAATAGTCATTTGAAACCTATTCATGAGTTCCATGTTAGATATAAATCCAGGTCACTAGAGACCCAAATATGTAATAATGATTTGAAATCTACATCAGTTCCACGTTAGATATAAATCCGGGTCGCTAAAGCAGGGGTTCTCAAACTCGGTCCTGGGGGGCCACTGCAACCCTGATCAAACACACCTACCTGTGAGTTTCTAGTGATCCTGAAGACCTTGATTAGCTTGTTCAGGTGTGTTTGATCAGGATTGGAGCTAAACTCTGCAGGACAGTGGCCCCCCAGGACCGAGTTTGAGAATTAAAAGATTATAAATATAAATGCATGTACCACTCAGACTAATCCAAAGAGTAAACAAAAATAAACAAATAGGGCCACCTAGTGTTTGCCAGCTTCTAGTTATTAAAACTAGTATTGCATGTTATGGAGACACACCATTGCTGGATATCATTTATACTTTTTAAAATGTCCAGTTTCATTATATCCGTTATGTAGTGGTAGTGGATGGACACAGATCTGATTGCATAAACATAAACCCCTTGTGGTAAGATTGTGTCTTAAGTATTAGTCTGACCAACTAGCTATTGAGTCAAAGGGCAATCAGTTTTACTTTCTAGTATCAAATTAGACCAATTTATGTTTTTATAAAACTGACTTGAAACAGTTATGAACAGTCTTAAAAAAAAAAAAAGAAAAAGTGATGACCAAGTTGTGAGACTAGTCTTAGCCGTTTATGCAACCGTCCCCTGGAGAGGAGTTTGGTCTTATGAGGAAGGGGAAACATTTTCTTTGGAGGTCGCATTGTCAAAGTTTGGTGGCAGCTCAACTGTTGGAGTGGCAGGTGAGTCTGAGAAAGTAGGGGATATTGTGGATATAGGAAGAGTGTAATGAGGTTCCTCTCGTGGACCTGCCATGTCCCCACTGAGCACAAGCTCATCCAAACCCACCCCCTTCAGCTCACCCAGCCACGGTGGTCCAGAGAATAAATGCAGAATGGCTTGAACCTGCTGGAGTTCCCAGAAGCTTTCCAGAACCACAAGCAGGACAATCAGCCCAAGCATCAGGTAACCTACATGATGATTCAATAAATGAATAAATTAGATCATGCATTTGTTGACTTAACAAAAAATCCTAACAGGAGGACTTACAGGAGGTTGCAAACTCCAGCACCTGACGTCCTGCTTGGCTTTGCGTCCTCCCAGGCAGATAGTCACCCAGTCCAGTTGTGCTGAGTGAGATAAAACAAAAATACAGCGACTCCAGGTAACTCCAGTGGTTCTCCAGCAGACACAGGGCACCAGCAGGTAGAAGAAAGAACAATGTCGCTGTGCAAAAGGCAAGGACACTGCAGTGCAGCAACGCAGCATGGTTGCGAGACAGTCCCCAGAAGACTTGAAGGTTCTGAATAGGAGTGTGTGTTACCCGGGGCAGAAGGGCACGAGTGAGGCAGGACAGCAGCAGCATGGTGAATGGGATGCCCACAAGACCGTAAATAACACAGAACACACGGCCCTCATCCGAAAGGGGCACAGTGGTGCCATAACCTGCAAAGAAATTAAACAGTGCAAACTTGTATAAAGTGTGAAGATGTAAGGGGATCTTTCCTTTTTGACAATTATTAACAAATGTGAGGGTCAAAATTACACAGTATGGTATACTGATAGTCCAAATCTATGTCAGACAAATCAATTTTCATTCATTCGATTATCTGTCAGTCTTTAGTTAAGATTGAATATAAAAAATGCATACATTAAAAATAAAAAAATAGATAAAGCTTGTATTGAGTGTGGACGGAAATATTAAGATAAAAATAAATAATGTAAAAAAAAACCTATAAATAAATCATGCATTTGCTAAGTTGACTAGTATCCTTAAATGAAATTGATGAGTGATTTAACAAGTATTAAAATATAAGTACATAATATATTTTGTATTGAGTGTGTAGACTTAAATATTGAGATCAAAATAAAGAAATAGGCTGGTTTTAACTATAAACTATAAATCAAGCATCCATTTGGTTTGTTGACTAATTAATGAAACAATATATGCTCAATACAACAAGTTCTTAAGGATAAAAAATGAATTAGAAAAAACAAACAAACAAACTAACAAATGTTTTGGCTACTGAGTGTGTAGAATTAAATAATAGACCTTGTTTTAATTATTTTGAACTATACGCCATTGGTTGACTGTATACTATAAGTTCTAAAGGATAGACAATGTTTTGGGTTATTTTAAGGTGACATAGTTACATTATAGGCTACTTGTAGGCCTACTGAGTACTTAGCTTAATATTAAATAACTACTAGACTTCCGGTTATGCTTGGTTGAGGGTCAGTTACATGTAAGTATGCATAATTTACTGCTATGACTACAGTAAGCACATGTAATGTGTAACGTCCACTTAAAATAAAGTGTAGCCACGTTTTGTACTGCTTGACTAAACCTTAATATTTAAAATGATTTTTATATTGATCAAAAAGGCTACATCGTGACTGTATAAACTGTTTGAAAGAAGAAAGGAAGAAAAAAGACAAACAAATAATGTTTAAATAAATAACTACACAACACCACTGTACACATTGGCAATTATGACATAGGTCCGCCACGCCCACAAGTGAGATAAAATAACTGGAATATATGCGCATCTACAGCGGTTATTATTATTGTTTGTGAATAGTGTTCAATAAATTCATAGCGGTGGTGGTTTTCAAAATTTCAAACATCCAGCCAACATCTTAACTGCTATATCTAATTGCTCACCTGTGGTCGTGAGGAAGGTAGTGACGAAAAACAGCGACGACGTAAAGTCGAAATTGCATTCAACGCTGTCGGATTTCAGTGCGGCCACGCCGCGTTTACTCGCAGAGAGCACGTTCACTAACAAACCGTCCAAACTGCTTTCCTCAACACACGGGTTCTCCGTCAAAAAAATAGCTTTTAGTTCACGGACCTCTTGGACGAGTAAATTCTCCTCAGGTTGCTCCAATATCATCAAAACAACAGCACCGAGGATGACAAAAAGGCCATACGCCATCGTCATGAAGATGAACGCGTGAGCGCGCAGAAAAGTCCGACCTTTATCCGCAAAAATAGCCATTAAACCAGTTTTGTTAGTATATTCTCTCAGGATGGTAGAATATGGAGTGCTGTGTAACCAAACCTGGGCTCTGACATGGAAAGTTCAACACCACACTGAAAGTTTAATGCAACAGCTAGGTTAGCGGCCATCTGTGACACCATCAGCCTTCTCCGGTCTAGTACAACAACAGAACAAACAAAATGTTCAAAAGTGAGATTGCACTTTAGTCCAGTTATCATCAGAACATACCTTTATATCTTACAGGATTTCATTTTTAATTCTGACATTTAGCTACTTACCATCATGTTGCTCCAAACCCATTTGATTTTCTATGGAAAATTAAGACATTTTGAAGAATGAACAGAAAAGAGTTACCAGGATGTTCATGTTCCATGTTGGCCCTCGGTCCTGGAGGAACAATGTCATGTAGAGTTTAGCTTAAACTTACCTCAACTCACCTGGAATGCTTGGTATCATTGTCCTGTTGCATGAGACAATTTCAGCCAAGCTTTAGATGTTGGAGAGAAGGCCTCACATTTGACTCTAGAATACTTTGGGCATATACTTTTCATCACCCCTTCAGTTGTCGACAGTTGGTATGAGGTGTTTGTGTTGATATACTGTGTTTGGTTTTCACCATATGTGGCTTTTTGCATTATGGCCAAACATCTCCACTTTGGTCTCGTCTGTCCAAAGGACATTGCTCCAGAAGTCGTGCAGTTGGTTCAAATAAAACTTTGTTGCCATTTTCTTTTTAGAGGAAGTAGCTTTCTCCTGGCAACCCTTCCAAACATGCCTTACTTGATCAGTCTTTTTCTATTTGTCCTGTCATGAACTTTAACATGCCTACTGAGGCCTGATTTTGAGGTGTAGCTCTTGGTTTTTCTTGCAGTTTCTCTGAGCATTGCACGGTCTCACCTTGAGGAGAATTTTTATTATCTTGGGTCTTGAATATATTCCATTTTTGAGAAATCTTCCACACTAGAATGATGGACTTGGTAATTGTTTGGAAATGACATATGATAAGCAACACCTGACTTCTACTTTCCCTCTTAATTCCTATGGATGCAGTATGGGTTGTTGTATGAGGTATCTGAGGTTGTATCAAATTTTAAGACCTACCAAGGACCAGATGATTTATTATGTCCTATCTGATACATAGAAATGTGAAAAGGGTGTACTTTCTTTTTCACATAACAATATTGTTGCGGACAATGGGAGGGGCAAAAAGTCAAAAAGGTTGAGATTCACTGCTCTAAAGGGGAATAGTAATGGGGAAAAATATATTTATATTTAATGGCTTTTGCGTTCAATCGCAATACCTTTGCGTATGGTGCTGTGTGCCCTTAAGAAACTTTGCATTTCAACATTCGTGACAAATTTTATGGGTGAACTGTCCTTCACCCATAAAATTTTAAACATTTAACACGCTTTAAGAAATATTCTCTTGAAAAATGGAAACATCTCTTTTTTTATTAAATTTTAACAACTCAATGCAAGCAGTTTTTGCTTAATTAAAGGGGAAAATTTGTACAATTTTAAATCTTTGCCATTATAAACAGTAGTTTATATAGAAAATAAAAATATATTTCGAGTACATTTAGAAAATGTATTTATTTTTATAGGCCTACATCATTACAAAAACGTTCAACAAGGTTGGAACAAAATGACATACATAAATACCCTAATAAACAAGGTGATTGTATAGCAGTGTCTGTAGATTCATCCTGCTTTAAATACAGTAAATATAATCTTCAACTCTATTCGGTTTCATTTTCTATTGTACTATTTGCAGTAGATGCTGACATAACTATGAGAGAATTCAAAATTAATGCTACTGATCAGAAGAGTTAGAGTAAAAACACAGAGTTATTCACTCAAAATTTCCCCAAAATAATACTTGCCTTATTTGCATAGAGCATCTAGAATTTTCCCCTGTAGTTGCTAAGATGCAGTCAAATGATGAGATGTCAGCGAGTTCACATTTCTCTAAACGTCACATACATCGTCCTTGGATTTTAAAGAGGCAGATGAAGCGAGTAATGGGAACACGTCCAGCGGCGCACAGGTTTGCTGACCCTCCCGATGACTGGTAGCTTGTGGGCGTAGGCACGAGGTGGGAGGGAATTAAGAGGCGGAGTTGGAGTAAAGCTCGTCTGGAAGCGGCGTCCCTGACAGCGTCGTCCCATCTGCCGCCCGCCTATGATGAAAGTGAATGCCGGAGGTCCAGCCTGAGGCGGCGGAAAACGGGCTTTAGGGAAAATATCTCGGGATTGGCTGGTTGAACGTCCTGGACGTGATGAGGATGACCTGGAACGTGAGACGGAAGATGAGGAGGAGGAAGAGCGGGTAAGAGATCTGCAAACACGGGACAAAAAGAGACCACCGGTGAGAAAATGCCTTTTGACCTTTTAAACCTTCGTTAAACAATTTTAAGTGTTTTAAATGACAAGACTGGCTAAAGTAGTGTTGGTTAGTATAACTTAAATGGTTAGTTAAGCCAAAAATGAAAATTCTGTTATTAATTACTTACTCTCATGTCGTTCCAAACCCTTAAGACTTCCGTTCATCTTCGATAATCAAATGAATAGTTTTTGATGAAATCTGAGAGCTTTCTGTGTCCCTCCATTGACAGCTACGTCATTGCAACTTCCAAGACCAAGAAAGGTAGTAAAATCATCATTAAAATAGTCCATGTGACTACAGGGATTCAAACTTAAAGGGATAGTTCACTTTGAAATTAATTTTTGATATGTTTTAGTTTACCTCAAGGGCAACCAAGATGTCGGTGTCTTTGTTTCCACAGTAGTTTCAATTTTGATATTTTTTATGTCAAACCGTTCTTGTCTGTCAGTCATATAATGGAGGTCTATGGTCACCACCTCAAAGAGCATGCACAGAGAAGTCCAAATTAATCCTAAGACACGAACTGAGACTGAGTGGTGATCTGAGGGCGCGGGTGCATTGGTCTGCGGAAGCGATCTCTCGCGCGTGTCTCTCGCCGGAAGTGATCTCTCGCGTGTACGTCACTCATTGTTTACACAGAGATTTCAGAAGTGTTACCCTTCACTGTAAGGATCTAAACATATTTAGATATACAGGAAATCGCATTGGAAGACGATTTTGATAAATCAACAGACAAAGTTGAATTTTTTTCGTAACCGCACGAGAGATCACTTCTGGGCGCTTGTGCAAACCGAAGCGCCCGGGCCCTCAGATCACTTGGACGAGGCTGTTTTCTCACACAAACCGCTCGTTTCGTGTCTTAGGCCACCAATGTGTACTTACATTTACGAGTCATTAAATCATGTTTAATTTGGACTTCTCTGTGCATGCTCTTTGAGGTGGTGACCATAGACCTCCATTATATGACTGACAGACAAGAACGGTTTGACCTAAAAATATCAAAATTGAAACTACTGTGGAAACAAAGGCGCCTACATCTTGGATGCCCTTGAGGTAAGATAAAACATACCAAAAATTCATTTCAAAGTGAACTATCCCTTTAATGTTATCAAGCGATATGAATATTTTTTGTGCGCAAAAACCCCCCAAAAAACTAACTAAAATAACGACTTTATTCAACAATTTTTATTCTTCTCTTTATTCTTTACTCTTCCATGTCATCTCCTACACTGTTGACGTAGACACAGAGCAGCGCTTCTGGGTTCTACGTCAGAACGTCGGCTCATTATTGGCTAGCTCCCGTGTCAGCGTCACACACAAAAAGTATTCTCATCGCTTCATAATATTAAGGTTGAACCACTGTAGTCACATGGACTATTTTAACTTACTTTACCACATTTACCACCTTTCTGGGCTTTGAAAGTTGCAATGACGCTGCTGTAAATGGAGGGACAGAAAGCTCTCCGATTTCCCCATTTTTTCTTCATTTGTGTTCCCGAAGTAGAACGAAGGTCTTACGGGTTTGGAACGACACGAGGGTGAGAAATTAATGACAGAATTTTAAGGCAAGACTTAAAGGTCAAAAGGTCATCAGAGTGCAACAGCGCTTGCCCACTTTTTCAGTGGTCTTGGTTCCGGAAGAACTTTTCCCATTACTTTTCCCCAAATGGATTTAAAAAAGAAAGAAGTCTTCGTTTCAGTAACGAGGGGAATCACAATCTTACAAACTTTGATTTGAAGCGATATCAGAAAAAGGTAAAAGACTGTTTACTAAATATTTTTAACAAGGGAAAGGACTACAATCCCATGATGCACAGCGAATGACAAATCAAATCAAAAAGGAGGGAGATGTGTACATTTGATTTAAAGATGTTGATATAAATAGGTAGGGAGACTGACTTATGACATCTTTTGGTGCTTGTGCGACTCTCTGATTGGTGGATATTTATTTGCAGAATCATGGGTAGTGTAGTTTTCCACCAGGAATTCTACTGCATATACAGATTAACAACCTTGTAGCTCACATTAGGTCTATTTTTAAAGGTTTATAAGTTATCATTAACAATCAGTTCGCCATGGAACAAATGAATAGGAGTTTTACTTCCAGAACCTGACTGTTGCACTCAAGTGGTTTGACTCGTACCTCCCCGGGGCGGTGGCAGCCAGGCTGGGTGGTTGTGGTTCCGTACGTGGGCTTCCATCTTGCCGTGGGCTTATGTTCATACTGGCCGTGAGTTGGGGCATTTTGCGTGTACTCTCGAGATTAGGGGCAACACTCGCTGGCTCTTTCCTGCCCTCTAGCG